CACATACAGCTTACACTTATCCTCATTTACCGCCACCAGAAATTTAAGAAGTGGCTTATAGCGCGAAATAGTATACCTATTCGATGCAATTAGCAAAATTGCCATTACCCCGCTTTTACGATATTAACTTCTACCTGCTCCGCAAAATTACCCTCGTTTTTTTTACTATTCACGTAGCGAACGTATGTATAGAGTAGAAATAGGTATAACTGTCTCGGTTGTTGCTTTTGTTAGTTGCTCCCCGCACCTTACAATCCCAACTGGCCAAACCCCCAACGAAAGAACGTTCCCACAGACCCTTCTGCCAGGCATTTAATGTCGCTGCTGCCCTAAGCCGATCTAGTTTAAAATATAAGTTTGCTAGGTGGGACCGCCACCTGCCATTGCAATAGCGGGCAAAATTGTAATTTAAAATACGTGATTCAGCCAGCAAGGTTCGTACGTCGGTTGACCGCTAAAACGGTCAGTGGTTCATTGCTTGGCCATACGGAAGCAGGACCTCCTGCGCGGATCCTTCTTTGTGACTTTGCTTGAACCTATTACTGGTGCTGCCACTGCTAGAACTGCGTCAGCACATTGGGAACACATACGCACACGTAGCAATAGTCTATAGAACTTGGCGAGTAGCGGTTATGCACTCAGCGTCACGTGGTCATTGTTTTGGGCCGCGGCGTGCAGCCACCAGCCGCTTGCGATCGCCACGTAACCAGACTTGTACCATAGCTTAAATGTAGGTGGTAGAGTCTAGCCGCTGCTTTTTCCACTAGTGATGGGTGATGTGTCGATGGAAAATGTCATATCGAGATAGGAAAGGAAGTTTGGGAGAGACGGAGCGAGTTTGTCCCATCGATGAGATGTAGAGATAGGTGGAATGGGGACACGACGAAAGGCGTGGATACACAACGATGCCAGCAACAGTGAAGCGTCTGTATGTGCGTTTTTGTCTATATGAGTGGCCGAATAACCCACGAATTTGGCCACGCAGAATCCAGTATGGGGAAGCGTGCAAAAGCAGCACAACATTACGGGTTCGTTGTCGGGCATTCTCGTGTTGCCGTTGAGGAATAAGCGAAATAAATAAACAAGGACGAGCAAGCCAGTGACTCGGAAACAGAGAAGGATAACAGGTGCAGGACGTCGAGAGACCCAATTGAATTCGTTCGATTCGAGACGCCAACATCTGATAGCGACAGCAACAGCAGGAAGAGTGCACAACTTAGAGATGACCGCCGTCATCACAGCCATCATTTTCATTGCATGCATTTAACTAATACTGCAGTCTGAAGAGTAGACTGTTGTCCTATGTGCGTGTGCACAAAAAAATTAGATATTATGATAGTAAGGTCACGATTTGCCTATTCCGATTACAGCCTGTTGCACGAATGAAGAAAAGTCAACGTGCCCCTTTTTTAAGAAAATTAATAAGCTATTTATATAAAGTAACGCATAAGTTAATTTAGAGTCTGCCGTAGAGAAGGCTACGTTTTGTTTGATGGTGACAGGACCGTATATATACATTGTTTAGGCATCCTATCTAGTCCTTAATTGTTATTTATGTATACACTCTCGAGATGAATTAATGACAGTGGAAATAAGCGGGATGGCCACATTCACAAATAGTCTTTTATATAGCCTACGAAGCATCTTTCTTAAACAGAGAAAAAAAAAACGTTGATGATAGGTTACGGGAAAATTTTAACTTACGAAGGTGACTTTTATTACCGTCAGTAGGATCAACGATCTGCTTCTATTTCTAAGATGCAGATACCCTCAATGGACAATAGTATAAGATTTAAATGCAGGCCGACATAATCTTATATTGTACCTTTCATTGTCATTTGGTTGAAGCATTAAGGCTCAGCGTCGTTTAACACACGAAATGCATGCAAGAACGAGGCTGCAGCGATAGCAGTACTTGAATATCGCTTGGCCTTTGGACAAGTGAGCTAGGACGCCTTACAGAGTGCTAGCAAATACACTTTTAACTAGAAGACAACAGGACAAGCATCAGCTACGATGGCATTAAATGATGTTCTAGCCCGCGTCCGGTTTAGGGACGGCTTCGCGGTAATGAAAATCGACACTCCACATGAGCGCTTCAGGTATAGACGTCTGACCGTGCATTTAATAAACATCTGAGAACGAACATCTGAGCAGTTGATTCTGAGACGGTAGTCAATCAAATAGCATATGCTTATATCGGATGTATAATACGTGTACCAGAGCTGTCCCTGAATCTTGTGCTTAAGGTGTTCTGAAAGCATCTGAGATATCGTCAGCCTCGCAATGAAAAAAGGGTATTATTGAGAAGATTGAATTTTCAATTCAAAAAGCAGAACACAATTGACAGCCATTGCAGGTATGTGTGCTAATATATAGTACAGGCTTAATTGCTGAATTATTTAAATACCTCATGGTCCTACGCTATTAGTCTTTCTACGATATAGGAAGCGATTAAATAAGCTAAGAAGTAACGTTGAAAATACATATCTGGTGAAGGTACACGTATTTATAGAAAGCTAGCAACGACTCTGATTACTAGAAGCCAAGATTCTTCGTCTTGCTTCCTGATAAGGTTGGCCTGAATAATATTGAGCCTGAGACATCTTTAGAATATAAATAGGCATATGCATTATTCTGAATACAAAGCACAATTATAGCGTTTTAATTTTCTTAAGTGTCACAAAATAACAATGGTTCATTGTTCGCCTGCTTTTTATTGATAAACATTAGCCGATTGAAGCAACAGCGTACAGACATACCTCGTAGACATCTTGACTTTCACTTTAAAATTCGATTACGAGCTATTTACGCCACCATTGTACCATTTGTAACACAGAACTGACCTTCTCAGAGATCCGTCCACGCAAGTATATGTGTTTATATTCGAGCAATATACACTCAGAAAAGTGAATCCGGATTCGTCTCTGGAAAAAAAGTCGATTACGATTTGTTTTCCCCGGGTGCCACAGCCACGTTCTCGCTGTCGCCGACAATTGCGCCAATCACCTAAAGCGTCCAGAACTGACGCCCGCTTGGTCCCGTGAAATTCACTCCATGACGCATCGCCCCACATCGAGTCGAGGCCATACTTTTGCGCCGAGTTAATTACTCTTGGAGGATGTTTTGGCGGCAGTAGAAGCAAGCTGGACGCGAGTTTTTAGATCCTCTCTTCTTAAATTAAATTAATTGCTCTCGATCAGTCAACGAATACAACAATGGATCGCGGCCGTGTCGCGGCACACTCTCCTGGCCGACACAGCCGACGTTATCGCTTACTAGTAGACCGAGCGCTTGATGACTGCTTTGGGGTGTTTCCTTGCGAATTGGTAGTCGGCGGACGGCGTTTCTTTAAAAGCCCAGTCTTTATTTTCTGCCTTTCCTTACAGACAAACTGTGCAACTCTGCTCTGTACACCTTTCGACCATTTAACTACCATAAACATGTAGTAAACCTAAAAATACGTCAAATGGTATCGTCTATTGAAGCAGTTGTATCGAAGGAAGTGACTGAGTCTCTTCTGCTGTCAGTCGTCATCACTAACGCTCCGAGTACAAATCAACTTTCTATGTTCCCGACATTTTGTTCCTCATTAGGTATTATTGTTCGAAATACAGTAACAGCCTATAACTTTGCATATTACTATGACCTGTAAGTACGAGTCGGTAGGAGTGCATCTGAAATGTATTTAGGTGTTGACACTATCAAGGCATTACGGGTTAAATTTTTCTCGTCTGGTGTGTTTCGACGGAGGGGAACATTCGATTGTCTGCACATACAGAAAAGATGTAGGGCGGAACGAGATTTTGACTATTTTATTTAAGGCCAAATTATTGACAATAACCTGAACTCCTGCTTCAATAGCAGCTGCCAAACGAGGTTCAGTTCTGTATTGTGCCGCTATTAAGGTCTGCTGAATTAGTGAGATTGGAAAGGCTGGCCGATTACGAATATTTTTAGTATTTTTTCTCTAAAAATGACGCAGCAATGTCAATAATATCGTTTACGACATGCGCTCAACTGCTACTCCTGTCGGTATCGGAAGCAGGAAAATGTATACTTTGGTGGACCAACATGCGAAATTACGTCGTTTCCACCAGGTACTTCCTCTACCATTTTTTCTATCCCTTGACATCACTGTACCAATCTTCCGCGTCTCTTCTAGAGCGTAACAACTTTTTCGTTTTTGTCGGCTTCTTAACGTAAAGACTTTACACGCCATTTTTTATTGCTTGATTCTTCTGTTGATTTTCTGTAAGTACCGCGGCTGAACTGTGCGATCCTTACACGTTGTCTATTAATTCTACCGAAATCTGAAGCAGTGTGAGTTCACCTTCAGATCACTGTTGACGTTCACAGCAGCGCTGTCTTGACTTTTGACGGAGTTTTCGCTAGTGCAGTCCGTCCGTATTCGGATCATATCCATTGTCACGTTCACCGCGAACGAACCCCTCAGCGGGAAACCCTCTCTTCGGGTCGCCGTTATATTCGCAATGGCGGCAGCAGCAGCAGCAGTGGTACCTATCATTTTGATAAACAAAAACATAGTCTATTGCCTTCGAATGTAGATTTGTGTATGTCTCTGTGAACGTCTATTGCCTGTCTGTACATCAGTATGTGTCTCATGTATGACTGTAGCTGATCTGCACAGAACTAGTTTTCAAACCCAGTCGCGTTGCTATCGGCCAGGTGATGGGCTCCCTTCCGGCTTTACTAATCAAGCCGCCGTTTCCAGCCATAGTACAGGGCGCTTGCTTCACGCCTACCATTTGCCGCCGATGCCGTTTCAGTTGTGGCTTCGGAAAAGGCGCCAGCCATGATTACTCCAATGACTAGGTTCCCCTTGCTCTTTTCCGCTCTTGTTCTTGGCGGACGGGCGCCATCGTTGTCACCTTGCTTCTATCGCTGTCTCCGTTCTCTACCCTCTTTTCTGTGTTTGGCCTCTGGCTTTGCCATTTTGGCCATCTTCCGTCTTTTTTTCTTTTCCCTGCCCTTCGCGCCCTAGCTATTCTATCCTATCAGCCATATACACTCTCTGCGGATGTTTGTGCGTGTAAGGTCGAGTACTTCCCTTTTGTACCTAGTTCGTTGTTTTCATTGGTGCCTTCCTGCCGAACGTTACCTTAATTGCCTCGTGGATACGATTATAACCCGTGCATCGCTTATTGCGAACCCGTTAGTCATTTCGTCTAAGAGGCCATCGGTCAGCCCTGCATTAGGAGAGGAATAGAGTTTAAACGGGCAAAATTGTTCTTATTTTTACTCGGCTGTTCACTTTCAATGAGTCCTGCGTATCATGTTTTCCATTGTTTGCGCTGATCGACGGCAGCAAGCAGCTTGCAGTAGCTAAGCAGGCCAGTCCGACCTCTTCGTTGCCGCCTGCTGCTACTGTCGTTTCATAGAGCAACACCAAAATCAGCAATAATTCCCCGGCGGCGCTCATTGGGCCCTTCGACGGGGCGCTGGCTTTGTTCGGCTGTGCAGCGATTCGTCGAGTAACGTACTCGCGATGGGTCACCCGCTGGTACACAACTTTTGGCCCACAAATAGTCGTTTTGTTTACCGGTATCGCTAGACAAAGCGGCAATTGCAAATTCACCGTTTTCCGTGTGTATGGACGATTTGCTTTCTAAAGGGATTAAACGCTGACTGTAGACGGTATTATTTTTGAGTGCATCCGAACGCCTGGCCACGATCGACCCAAGGTAATGAAATTTCCATTGAAGTCGTTTTTACATCACCGGTTGGCAAAAACCATTTAGTTATTGTTCATTGTAGGCGCAGGAGAGCACATCTTAACACAGACTAGCTAGATAGGTTTTCGTAACGGTCATGTGCTAGTGCGTTTTCCTGGCAGACTAAAACACACGTGGAGACATCCAGGTGGTTGTACACACTGGATTTGTGTTGGGGACCAACCGTCTAAAGCAATGCTTATACGGCAGTATAATCGGATATGAAAGACGAGACATTTAGGTTAAGTTAGCTAGATTCTGTGCCTTGTATCTCGTGTACGATCGTATTCACTGATACACATAGTTCTTCTTTTAACGATCTTCTCTTCCACGAAGACTTCCGTGCTTCTATACTCACGCAAATAGCAGCATTAGATTAGGTAGGAAATATTTGTATTTGTACAGACAACATAAGAATTGTAAAAAGCAAATTCGTTTAAATATAATTCATCAATGCAACCTTCAACAAACACATAAATAGATGAAAAGGTCGTCTAATAAATATCGCGACCATCAGTTATCTTAAGTCTCTTTCAGATGGTCATAATGAAGGGACGTGTAAACCGAAGCAACACAATGCTAACCCTGACAATCGTAATGACTGATGCTAAACACCTTTGAGTGAAGGAACGCAACAGGTCGATTTAGAGCAAAAGCTAAACGATCAGTCTGCCTGCATGCGTACGTTCCTGTCTTACCAATCCACGTACTCGAGTGAACTCAACGGTAGCTTTGGCCGCTATTGCTACCGTGCTCTTAGTTCACAAGAACGTCGGTCATCAGATTCGTTTGTGTGATAGATGTTTGCATGTTGCTGAATAAGAGCGCGTATACGCCTTTTCGCCCCTGCGTCTGCCGACGATCCTTTTGCGTCGCTCCTATATTTTGTCTTGGGTGTTTGCTTGTTGACCCGTGTGCGTGAGTCCCGCTTGTTCTGAGTCTGCCTGTTGTCTGCACTGCTTTCAGTCCGCTTCGATTTCTGCGTGTCTACAACAAACAGGTTGTGCGTATGTTGGACTTTACATGCGACAGCGTCGGCCGTTGTCCTGGCGCTCAGGTTGTTTATACACTATATATGGCAAGCAACTCTATCCGAATGGAGCCTTATGGTGTTGCTGGACAGGAAAGAATCAAACGCCGGTGCCGGTAGGAAGGGCCGCCTCGATTGCACCACGTAAGCAGGTCCGCTACGAAAACGGGTGTACTACAAACTACAGGTCTAGACTATCGGGGGCTGCAGTCAGAGGTCGTTGTCACTCTATCGTCAGGGTAGGGACAAGCGCAGCAGCAGTAGAATAAAAGAGTAAACGTTCGCTGATGGGATTCCGTCTCTTGCTACGAGCGTCTTGCGAGCGTCCATGATTTTCTTTTTTTTTGGACTGCCTCGCTGTCTCTTGCAGGTTTTGTATCTCCGCTCGTAATCACCAGCCATTGCCACTTGTTGGCCTCGACGCTAGCAATGATGACGATAGCGGCGGCGTCTACAGTAACTAACTACATCTAAGTAATGCCTCTTTTGCGTTTTTTAGTTGCCGCGCCGGTCATCATCACGATCGTCACCGATCCCAATACTGCTGCTGCTGCTGTTGTTATCGCCGGCATTGCTGCTGAAACCACACGTAGGAGCTCTCAATACACAACATGCAGCAATAGAGGATGGCAACGGCTCATCGACAAGGTAGAGAAAAAGGGGCAATGCGAACTGTGTTTCTATGAGCTACTGACGAAAGATAGCAACAATAACAAGGTCCACTCTCTGATACGTGCCAGTGAGGTAGAGCAATGACACGCGAGATTCGGCTTGAACGCGCGACAATAGAGGCGGTGTCGACGATGATTTCGCCGTGTACCAAAGGAACTATCCAAGCAAATCTTTATGTGTCAATGACAGACTGACTCCCTCCGACTTGTTAAAGATTGCCAAGACCCTTCGCCGCTGTAATCCACCGTCCCAATTTCACCTCCACCCTCAAAACTACATGGTGGTATATGGCGGCGGTGTAATATACAATGAGAGAATGAGAAAGGGGCAAATAGGGAGAGGCCATACGAATGAATGAGCAAAATGTAAAAGTCGCGTTGTTCTCTTTCCCAGTCCTCTGCCTGTTTCACGTTTGTCCTCAATATTCGACGCCTTTCGCTTCCTCCTCAGATCCGTTCGCGCCTACGTTTCAACTGTGCGTGAGTCGACATCGACAAGTGTCTTCATGGCCGACGGTTACTGCGACAATGATACGTGTAACTCAGGGATAGGCAGGTACAGAGTGGGGATAAACAACGACCGGGTTCACTGCGACGCGGAACCTATGATGACGCCGCCGTGCGGAGACAGCAACAATGTCCGCCACAACTAGCAAATAACTAGCAACCAGCTAGTGTGGGACTCAACGGAAAACACGAAGGAGCAGAAGTTCGCACTGGCTACTTCCGTTGTGCGGCTCAGGTCGTATCTTGCAGGTCGGTGTCGTTATTGAGATCCGTTAGTTTTGTTGTCAGTGGTGATGTTCATTAGAATTATCGCTCTCAAGTATCAATCGACTACTTACGGAGGAAAAAGGCAGGCAGCTGAATCGAGCGTTGCCTGTAATAGCAATAGCTGTAGCAGTGCCAGTAATCGGTAGGTGGGCACAGAGGGGACGTTCAGGGGTGTTACAAGGTCCCAAAGAACAGGAGTCTGTCTAGCGACGGGTTTAGGTGCCAGAGGGACCCGGTACCGTCATGACAAGAACGAATTTTCTCGGTTAAGTGAAAATAGCGTTGGGGGCGACTTCTGAACCGAACTGCTCGAGCATACAAACAAGAAAACCTAAGGGTGAGAGGAAGTATGCTAAACGCGGCATTATGGACGGTTTACGACGACGCCCTCGATAATGCGTCGTAGTCCCCTTCGTCTTTAGTTGATGTCTACTATGTTGGGTAAAGTAACTTTATATTTCATGTTGCGACGGGGACGCAACGTTCGAAACTCTCTTCGTCAACCAGGTGGGCCCCTATGACAACGCAGTGATGGTAGTGTCAGCAAGCGCCAGCTTTCGGCAGCGACAGTACGACCGGCCCCATGTAATGTTGCTTTATGTTATCAGAGGATTAAATAGATCGACAGAGTTTACGTCAGCCAGCGAAGGCCGTTCGTTCCGCAACAGTAGGACAGCAGCAGATTGCAGCAGTCTGCTCATGCTTTCTTCGATGTTTACGAGTATCTATGCGTGTCTCTGCGTGTAGCTTTGTGTACGGTCAGCTTAAGCACACATAGAGTGATACAGCGGCACGCATAGGTACAGGCGAATGCTACGACAATGCTGTACATCAACAACCGAGAACATCAATAATCGCACCGTTGTTGTCTCATATGTATATACTGCATTGGCTCCTTTTTTTCTAGTCTAGCGCTAACTCAATTTGCACCTCAATCTAGATATGCCTATTGTATGAGCGTAGTTTTCACACAATAAGCTAATGGGAACAAGACAAAGTTTACCTTATCATGAGTAGTTTGATTTTGTGTTCACTCCTCTTAAGATTTTTGATTTCACATGCACAAAACACGTTTTCTAGCTGGGGGCTGAGTTGTGTGGTTGTGCTGATGATATCTGGTCATACTGATGCTCAGTGCTCGGTTAAATGTACCGGTTTTAGTTGTTAATTAGAGTAGCGGTCTACTGTGACTATTTATCATACGCCTGCCACTACTAAATACTCAATGCTTTGAGTTTTGCATCCAGAAACACCGTTAAGCAGCCCATCAGACAGCCTGGTAATGCTACTTGCCCGATCGATAGGGTTGCGACGGCGGCAGAAAAGAAAAAGGCAAAATATTAAAGAGAAAGCAAAATAAGGTACTAAACACACGACAGATAACGCTTTAAAGGAGCTGCGTAAACTAAACATGTGCACAGGAGATTAACTGGACGGAGGCCACTGCCACTGTCCGATGCCACTTCCTCTTGGGCTTCGGCACACCTCGATCGCTCTCAAACCCCAACTCTTCCCTTTACTTGACGTACACGCCCAGATTTCAACATCCGCACCAGCACTGCATCGCCAGGTCCACATAGAGCGATTCCTTCGAGCGAGTCGCTCAGAAATGAAAATCCGTAGATAGGAACAACACAGAGTAGAAAGCTAGTCGATCCCGTCTTGGTGCTGACGTCTTCTGAAAAATCTTTTCCCGGGACATAATATTCTTAGTAAACATTGCTACTTAACTTAGAGAGCGTCGTCTGAATCGTCGAGCTAGCAAAGGCTTTTGTTCACTACTGGCGTTGTCGCGTCTGCCGCAAACGGCGCCTCCCTGAAGACGCCATTAGACTCTACTTATAGCAGACGTGCTGTCTCCCTTGCGACTTCTATTGTAATGTGCTGCCATTGCAGTCGCTGCAGCTATTCCCGCTGTACAACACAAAAACTAAAAAAAAAAGCGATCTCAGAGTATATGTACTCATAAACATTAATGTTTGGCAAAAATACTCTCGAAAGAAAGATAAAATCACGCTACGTATCCTGTATTCGGTACCGGAAGTTCGAGTTTTTTGAAGCGGTCACTTGAAAGATCTTAGAATAGAGAAACATGTTATGTGCACATGCACCCTTTACTATGTACACTCGTCTTTTATGCCTCTTTTATCGTATATAGGACATATTTATGGTGTGGTAGTATTCATGACCAAATTTGCCTTTACTGAGCCGAAGCAGGCATATTATCAGTACGAAATATAGTGCGTTTACGCAGGTGGTAACTATCAGTATCAGCAAACCACCAATTAAATTAATATCTGACGAGTATATTCATATGGACATAATCCCTATGTTTGACACGTATTATTATATAAGTAGTGCCGCAGCAACAGAACGTGGGAGTTCCTATACTAAATTGGATCCCTTCGATAATGCAATGGTAAGGCGTTTCCGGAATGGGACATTCCTTCTACTTTAGCACTTTGCGACCTCATTGGCTATAGTGTCACAACCATTTTCAGCCTGGATAACGTTCGTTCTGCTATGACGTTTTTTTCATGATAATTATATGCTTGTACGTATTTTTCGAACTAATAATGTTCACAACGTGCTCTTTGAACAACAAAATGGCTTTATTTACAAGGTAACAGAAAATTGGTCATGATATTTTTTGTTTTCCTTGCTGTAAAGGCTCTTTAGTGGAGTTGTCGTGTGCAGACGTTGTTCTGAGGGCTTTAATAGATCTTGCCAGTCGAATGCGCAGTCATTTCGATGTGCTCTCTTCCGAGGAACAATAGCGGCCAAATAGCCGAGCCGATGAGTGTTGGTAGCTTGCAAAGATCTGGACTGCATTTACTTTGAGTGCACAAACCCGCTCTGCAATATTCTGTCAAAGGGAGTTGACAAGATAGGCAGTCTATGCCCACCTCTTGCCCTGTTCGGCTTCATCTTGTCTAAGGCACATCTGTGTGCATATGGACTGGGCTTTCTAGTAGTTGTCGCGTATCTCATCCCAGTCAACAGCTCCACCCTACTGGCTACGCCAGTCACACCCTGCCAAGCGGAACCTAGAACTGCCAACAGGAAGAGTAAATTGTTCTTCGTTGACGCTGCCATAACATCGAAACTACTCACCAATAATCAATGATTCCTGACTACGCATAGTACCATATTTATGCATACCACTTGTTATACAGAAGCTTGGCGCGCAAAGCTGTTGCGTTATACAAAACGTAGATAATGGTAGTTTCCGGCAAGGTTTTTCGAACTTATTAAAACATTATTATAGATGCTAGTGTCCGCGCAGAGCGTCATCCTCAAGTACGGCTGACGAAGGCACAAGAAATCCCGCGACATTTATCGAAGGAACAAAAAGATCTCGCTTTGCAGACGTCATCCTATTGGTCAGGGATGGAACAGCCAGGGCAGCCCAGCATGCAACGCTCGTACTGCTGGTCTTTTCTCATAGTCTAGGTTCAAGCAATATATAGTGGCGTTCCCATCAGATGAGCTCATTGATACAACGAGGAAACCTCGAAAATGCCCCGATGCAGCGACAGAATGACGGGTCTTATGCTCTGAGTTCAGCAGCTGAATCAAGCCGGGAGTCAAATTGGGTGCCAATGACGTTGTGTCATAGAGGAATAAGTTGCAAAGTTCCTGCAAGGATACTGCTTTAGGCGGGTTGGCTATCTAACAATTGATGGAAATGTCCTCAATAGGGACAATTGTAGGAAGAAAGGTAGTGGTGCTCGGTAAAACATAAGACCGAGGTCTGCTACTAGAGCTAGTTAGTTATACATTCAGTATATGGTTGTAAACATTCGATCTCTTGTTGTGATGATTCCTTATGACCCAGGAACGTCAAAGGTTGCTGCGTTTCGTGCAGATCAGCTGAAAGCTTGGCTGATAAGAGAATGCCGTTTTATCTTCTGAAAATGAAAACAGTTGTTGACTGGCTTAGGTGAGCATGACCATTGTATAGGACACGTTTACGCTAACCTTGAGAAGAACTTCTTATATCGCGCACTCAGAGCTCTTGGGGTATCTTAGACATTAATAGGTAATTTCCTTACGTTTAGATTTTATAAGGTTTTTCAACTACATTAACTTCAGTAATTTAATTAAAGTAGTATGTGCATTCACACAAGTCACTTATATGGGTTTTCAAGCAATAGTAACCATTTTTGTAGCTAAGTGACATATACCTCAGGTAATATAAATCGTCGGGCCGGTGCTGGGGTCATTTGAAAATTGAGATTTGGCGGTACTAGATGTGCTAAAGATGTCTTAGAGTATCTTTATTCAGACCTATGATAACGCGTCTTGAAGATGAGTGAAATTTCCCCAAAGATTCGTTACGTTTTAAACTTCTTCGACGGTAGAAGCACAAATGCTGCCCAGGCCCATAAAAAAGCTCTGCTGTTTATGGTCAAGATGTGTTATTGGAAGGAACGGGCTAAAGACCGGTCTGAAAATACCCATGTGAAAGATGCTCTTCATAGTAACTGACCAATCACGGAAAAAGTTGATGAAACTATTATGACGGTTAAGCAAAACCGGTACGTGAGTAGCTATGATACCGCCAAGGAACTAGATACCCACCACCAGACATTTTTAAACCAGCTGGACGCAAAAAGTTAGATGTTTGGATATTATATGGTCTAACTCATAAAAACTAACTTGACTGTATTTTCCACACTACGCAACTCTACAGAAACATAAACGGTTCCTGACGAGTGGATCAGATACGACAATAATGTAGCAACATCGAGAGTGACGCTAAAGAGGACGTCTAGTGGAACTGGAAATAGGTCGCGCATTATAAATTGTTACCACCTGGTAAAGTAACACGTTCCGAACTCTACTGTTAGCAACTAACAAGATCACAACAAAAATCGACAGGGGAGAGTGGTGGTTAGAAAAAGCATCGCCTGCTATTATGACGATATCAGACCTCTAGCTACCCGGAAGAAAATAAGGGAACCCCGATGGGAAATTTT